AGCATCATGAGCTAAACATAGCTGTTCTTCAAGTTTGGTTGCTTTTTTCCCTTCTCCTTCTTCTTGTCCTTCTCCCTTTTTTCTTCTCCTCTCTTCTCTCTCTCCTTCATCTTCTCCTCCTCTTCCTCCTCCTCCTGCCACTTCCTCCTCATCCCCTCCTCTCCCCCGCTCCTTCTTTTTCTTCTTCTTTGCAATACTTTAGTTTAACAGGCACTGTAGAAAGTAAGTACATTTTCAAAACTAGATGAAATGAAACAGGAGCAAATCATAGGCATAACTGATTTTTTTACTGGGATGTTTCAGCCTTTCTTTTATTTATTAACCTGTGCCATATGCAGAAAGAAATAGGACCTTTGTGAATACCATTGGTAACTAAAAAGTCAAATGCCAGTCAAACAGATAAATATCCAATCTTCAAAATAAATAAATGTCCAATCATCCCAAAGAAAGGTGTTCCAAAATGTCTGTCTTTGCAAGAGACCTCTGTACCTGAAAACACCTATCAGAATAGTTGTATAAAGTTGCCCTCATTTGGTTGGTCCATTTGGCTAATTAGTGAGTATGTTGAGTTTTAAGAAGAATAAGAATAAAAACAAACATTTATATAGTATTATATTCTCCTTTGAGGACACTGACGGAACATCTAAGTAATCTGGCATAGGGTACCTGGCCAGACAGTGTAAGAGCTGAGACTTGAACTTGAACTGTCCAAGTATCTTTGCTAATCTTGATTAGTCAACCGTTTCATCTCCTGGACCTCAGTCGTTCTGTCTGTGAAATGAGTGGATCTCAAATTTGGGGGACTTTGTCTACTCAGAAAGGGAAAAACACCCTATGTCTCATTTCCGCCAATCATTCTCAAGTTCTAGTGGCAAACAAGCTGGTAACAAAGAATGTGACTGTAAAAACAAATCATGGGCATGGGGAGGGTTATGTTCGCATATGCTTTCACAATAGAGATATATTTATACTTAGAAATGATTTATCTTTAAGAGAACATGTGTCTTGAAACCTAATTATGGGAAAAGATTAGGTCAAAAACATATTTACTGGGGCACCTGGGTGGCTCAGTGGTTAAGCCTCTGCCTTTGGCTCAGGTCATGATCTCAGGGCCCTAGGATCAAGTCCTGCATCGGGCTCTTTGCTCAGCAGGGAGCCTGCTTCCCCCTCTCTCTCTGCCTGCCTCTCTGCCTACTTGTGATCTCTGTCTGTCAAATAAATAAATAAAATCTTTTTAAAAAAAAAAAGAAAAAAAAGAAACATATTTACTTTAAAATTCAGGGCACACGTGCACAAAATCTCTTACTATATTGGTGTAGTTTGAGCCCTGCACCAAGACACCAGGACAAGCAGCTGAGTAGAAGCTAATTCCTAGGTTAAATTCTGCACACCTTGTATGATGCCCTGAATGTGTGTGGGCAGACAAATATGTATATTTATATGTAATTTAATTTAAAAATTAAAACTTCATGCACAGGGCACCTAGGTGGCTCAGTGGGTTAAAGCCTCTGCCTTCGGCTCAGGTCATGATCCCAGCATCCTGGGATTGAGCCCCACATCAGGCTCTCTGCTCAGCAGGGTGCCTGCTTCCCCACCCCCCCCCCCCCCACCCCCCCCACCCCGTGCCTGCCCCTCTGCCTACTTGTGATCTCTCTCTGTCAAATAAATAAATAAAATCTTTTTTAAAAATTTCAAAAAAAAAAAAACTTCATGAACTAATATTCTTGAACTCTGTGCAAAGCCTTCTGATATTTTCTACTCTTTTTTTTAAGATTTTATTTATTTATTTGGCAGACAGAGATCACAAGTAGGCAGAGAGAGAGAGGAGGAAGCAGGCTCCCTGCTAAGCAGAGAGCCTGATGTGGGGCTCGATCTCAGGACCCGGGGATCATGACCTGAGCCCAAGGCAGAGGCTTTAACCCACTGAGCCACCCAGGCACCCCTCTACTCTTTTTTTTAAAGAAAAATATTGGTCATGATATATAATCAGTTGGTTTCACAACCCTCTTATGGGTTGTGATTTACAATTTGAAAAACACTACTCTCAAAGAATGTTGCCCAGATACATGTTCACTGTGACCTCCAAAAATAGCATGGGAGCTTCTTCTGACTTAGAGATCTAAAGTTAGATCTTTTCCTCTTTACACACAAACTAAAGCACATTCCTTGGATGAATATGTTTGAAATTGTGGGTTATAAGAAAAGATGGCAGGAACTGGGGATGGTGAGCCTGGAGGAAAGAAGTGATGGCAGTGGAGGGGAGAAAGAGACCAAGAAAGTAAGTGGCAGTCCTCCAGTATTTCAGTGGCTACCACGGTAACCAGGTATTGGAGGGACTGGACATTTATCTCTCACCTTTCAGGATGGACAGTCAGCCTGATGTGGGAAGGGTGTTATGGTTAGAAGCCGACAGCCAAGAAAGAATTCTTGAGACGTCTTTGATGCAAAAAGGTGGTTTTATTAAAGCATAGGAACAGGAACCGTGGGCAGAAGGAGCTGCACTGGGGTCATGGGGAGTGGACCATTTTATACCTTCAAATTGGGAAGGCTTTAAAGAGATAGCATTAAGTCTGTAAGGAATTTTGGAAGCAAGGTTTCTAGGACCTTGAGAGGCTAGCTGTTGTTGGGAAAAGGTCATTTATTACCGTCTAATAAAACCTTAATCATGAGACCCTTCAGATGTATATGGTGGACCAAATGCTTGGGGGATGATTGCCAACATGTATCTGGGGGGGGCGGGGGTAGAGATAAAGGAAGTTTTCAAAAGACTTTTTATATGTTAAAGTAGTCTTACAGAATCCTAAGGGGGCAGGGGAGGGAGGTTAGTCTAGGATTGCCTTTTGCCCTTAGCCAAGTGTCAACATCAAGGCAGTTGAATCCCTAAAGGAGTATCATCCTGCCCATTTCAAGGACTTGTCAATGGTCTGTAGGTAGTAAGGAAATTTAATTATATCTCTTCTGCCTTTGTTTCCCACATCAAGCCTACTGAACATTTATTGAGGACCAGCTACTTGCCAGCTTCTGTGCTAGAGACGACCAATAGAAATATAATAGCAAATACAGTCAGATAATCTTCATGCAAAGAAACTACACTTTTCCAGTAATGGGACAGTCAAGTATGCCTGATAACTAATGCAAATCTTTATTTATGATCCACAGTATTGAGAGATGATGAATTTTGTTAAGTTCTATTGATGGCTTTAGTGACTCTTATAGCCCCTGTTTATCAAGGTATTTGATGTCAGTTTCTGAATGTTTCTATGTATTCGGTTTCATGCAGAAAGTGGTTCAGTTATGGAGAAGGAGATGCCCTCAGAAGGCGAGCTGCAAGCTTGCAAATGCAGACAAAACTTGTCCCACAGCTGCCTCTCCCATATTCTGCTCCCCAGATAAAACAGGAAACCATGAAAGAGCTTCCATCTCAACTTTAAAGGAGACTTTTTAGAATTCTAGCTTTAGACACTTTTTTCCTGAGGAAAAAAATCATTAAGCTTACTTTTATTTTAGATTATTCCATTTGCAAGCACACAGGATCATGAATACATAAATCTTTTCAATTTTTCACAAAGTGTGAGTAATGCAGTCTTGGTTTTATTGCCTTTGGGCTGTCACCAATCTCTTTTAAACTTTAAAAGAAATCCTCTAGAACTTGTTCGTGATCCCCTTCATAGTACTGTATTCAAATTTCAGGGTTAAAGCTTGTATGGGGTTACCTGTGAGTTTAGTATTACATGTTCAAGTTATAGGAAACATCTGTTTGTTCAATATTAAATGGATTTTCGAAGTATAAAACCTACCATGGTAGTAAGAATTTGCCCAGTGTGAGAGACAGTCAAGAATAGTCCAAGTTCAGCAGGCATTTGGTTGGAGTGAGGGAGATGTTACACAGAATTACCCTTGAGCTCCCTACCAACCTTGAGATTGTATGTTTTGCTTAAATGGTGATTGCACCCACCATTACTGGATTCTTTTCCAAAAAAGAGCTTTCTGTCCCTGCCTTCTGGAATCACATCCCAAAATACAAAATGACTTTTTCCTTAAATGAATGCATCTTTAAAGAATCACTTAGATTGGGCACCTGGGTGGCTCAGTGGGTTAAGCCTCTGCCTTCGGCTCAGGTCATGATCTCAGAGTTCTGGCATCAAGTCCAGCATTGGGCTCTCTGCTCGGCAGGAAGCCTGCTTCCTCCTTTCTCTCTCTCTCTCTCTACTCTCTCTCTCTCTCTCTGTGCCTACTTGTGATCTCTCTCTGTCAAATAAATAAAATCTTTAAAAAAAAATAAATAATCGCTTAGATCTAAATTACTCAGTAAGTGCTATTTGGTCTCTTCTGACAACATTGCCACAGCAAAGTCAAATTGTAAATAATAATAACAAGTTACTAGTAATAATAATTACTAATAGTAAGTATCAAATAATAACAAAGTACTAATAACATCAGTAATTGGTTTTAAATAGCTAAAATTTATTGACTGTTGTGTGGCAGATGCTAGGCTTAGTGCTTTTAAGACACTAATTTAATGACAACTCTATCAGGTGGTACATTCTTTTTTCTCATTTATTGGGTAAGAAAATGGAGACAGCACCTAGATGAGGCAGAACTAGACTGAAGTCACAGTATGCTAACTCCAACGAATACACTCGTAACTACTAGTTTATACATAATGACTTATGTAAGTGTTTCTGACTCTTGCTAATGTCTGTTTAGTCATCTGAATTATTTGGCAATATCATAAATGTAATAGCTTAAGTATCCAGTCTTAAATGTTGAAATATTATGTCATAAACTTTCAACAAAGAGAAAATGGTTAAATAATTTATACTACATGTCTTCACTAAAGTTTTAAGGAATCATTAAAATGCTCTAGACAAAGAGCTTTTAGAACATAGGAAAATGTGTGCAGTTATAGAAAATGCAATAGTAAAGTGCAAATTTTTTTGTGTACGGTATGACCTCAGCTTTCTTTAAAAAAAATTCATGGAAGGTGGTGTGCCAGCTCCTCAGGTACAGCATCGTAAACAGCAAAACAGTTCTCCCCACCCACTCACCTGCCTGTTGATTATATGATGGCCCGCACTATGGAACCAGTGGCAAAGAAGATCTTTAAAGGAGTTTTAGTAGCTGAACTCTTGGGCGTTTTTGGAGCATATTTTTTATTTAATAAGATGAACACAAGCCAAGATTTCAGGCAAATGATGAGCAAGAAATTTCCCTTCATCTTGGAAGTTTATTACAAATCCATTGAACAGTCTGGAATGTATGGAGTCAGAGAGCAAGATCAAGAAAAATGGTTGAATAGCAAAAATTAGGACCAGTCATCGCGTTCAGCCTCCCATCTAAGCTGTTTCTGACCTTTGTGGGGGAAAAGAAAGATGAGCACACCACATTGTGGACTCCTGGCCCCACAGAAGAAAACAGAAACTTCTGGTCTTTCATGGCTCACAGTCATTTCCCATCTATTATTCAAATCCCTGCTTTTGTTTGTTGCTTTCCTTTGGCATTTATTGTTAAAGATTACTGTTTAACAAATAAAAGACTAGGAGAAGAAAGGAAAAAAAAATTCATGGAAGGAAATCACTAAAATACAATGATTGGCCTCAGATGGTAATATCTATTTTGTTCAAATATTTGTTTCTTTAAAAAATCTTTTTCCATAATAAATTTGCATTGTTTCTATGATTTAAAGAAAAAAGTTTTGTTTTATTTTTGGTTCTATAAAGCTATTTAATTGTCTCATACAAGTTGCATGGTTTCTGATTTGACATGAAGATATATTTGAATGGTCAGGTGTTCATTTCGCGGTTAATGAATCTGTGTAGAAATGGGTAATACAGCATCACTGTAAAGCATCTGATCACTAAGGTGTATAAAGTCTGCTGATTTTACTTTATCCAGAATGAATTCTAAAAGCCTGGAAGTTCCATCTAATTGCCTACAGCTGAGTTCCTTATCTGCAGCACTGAGAGTGGCGATCTGTTATTTTTTGAGCTCACAGAGGATAGTGAAGACTGGTTAGGCTGGTTTGGAGAACTTGAGGCAAAGTGATATGATTTATAGTCAGTTTTGGCAATTCCTGCTAAACATAATCTGTCCCCAGGTCCCAGGGTGTCAGTGCTAGGCCTCAGGGGCTGAGGAAGCATAATTCCTTTATGACCAGGTATGATTAATCTGGGGAGTTTTGGGATGTTTCTTTTTTAGGAAAGCTTGGGCTATCCCAACTCAGAGGTTGTTATTGTTTGACATGTGTTTGGAAAACTCCACCCATCTCTTTTGTTGATTCATTCATTGTCACTTAAGTGCCACTGGAAACTTCTGCCACTTAAGGTCCCCTTTCCCCTTTTTGGCTTTGGATCTGAGTGGAAACTATGTAGCATCAGACTTTGTATTTAGAATCATTTGCAGAATAACTTTTAATACTACCCTTTATGGCACTGAGTGAATAAGACTAGGGCAAAAAATTTGAGCCTTCTAACTTGATCTGTAAGAATGATGTACATACCTCTAGTGTGTACTATAGATGTACATACCTCTCTCGTGGATGGAACTGTTCCTAACCTAGCCCTGTCTAAAATACTTTATTCAGAGATGTTCATGGTAGAGTACCTTAGAAGCTACCTACCTGCAAGTCACAACAATCACTCCTGCATTATAGAAAGTAAGAAGGGAATGAAGGCAACAACATTCTACCAACCTTAATTTATTCCTGGGCAAGTAACTGTAAATTACTACTTTGCCATCACTGATACACAGGCTCTGAAGTCCCCATTCCCTTCAGGTTTAAGTTCATTCAAGTGGAAGAATGGGTTTCCAGGAACTAAATCTCTTTCATAGAAGAGGAGTCTGTGATTCAGGCTTAAACCAAGGGTGTTGCCATTATGACATAGGCCGTTACCGAAAGTAAGGTAGGTTTGGCTCCTTGCCTCAGAGCTGTCAGATGTGCCCAGGGATTTGTGCTGTCCTTCGTGTTTTAGTAAAGCCAGGCCATCAGAAATGCTGCCTTGGGTCATACCAGTGGTAACTTCAGGTGAAGAAGGATCTAAAATATTAGAGGGTGATATGAGAAATTCTGCAATAAGACATAGGCAGAAAGAGCAGGTTTGTCATTAACTCCATCTGTGAAGTTCAGGAAGATTCCTAGAGGCAGCAGTGTTTGAATGTGCCTTAGAAGAATGTATGAAGTGAGTGGATGGAAGGGAAGAAAGAGCTTTCTGTGAAAAGTCATGAATTTTCATGGAAGAAGACAGTGAAAAGAGAGGCTAACAGAAGAACAAGCTTGTGAAGCGGTAACATGCTTCACTAAAAATACAGGCTCCATGCTGTAGTTGGTGAGGAGTCTGCAAAAGATTTTAAGAGAAGAGACAACATCAGGTGGCCATTTTATGAAGAGTTCTCTGACAGCTAGTTTATCTAATGCTTGGAGGGAAGGTGAGATTAGAGGGGAGGGACCCAGTTGGAGAGAGCTTCATTCATGCCAATGGCGGCAACAAAGAAGGATTTACAAACTACAGAGATGCTTTAGAGGTAGAATTGATGGGATTTCTCTCATCAATTTATGGCGTTTGTGGGTGTCTTGGTTAGATGTGGAATCAAGGTTTGAGGATAAAGTTTTTAGCTTAGATTATTAGGAAAACCGTGATGCCATTAAGCAAAGACTTTATGCCTGCTAAATCCATGATTTTTGTCTGAAACCTTCTCGAAACTATGGTATGACTTCAACTATCACATAATAGTTCTGTGGCATCTGCCATTTTTCACTCTCCAGAGCACTTCCTCTTATTTGATCTCATTAAATATGCAGTTTGACAGCTGAAAAACTAAAGTGAGTGATTCGGCTAAAATCATCCATCTGCATCTGCCCAAGTTGGGAATAAAACCAAGTCTCAGTTTTAAGTTTTAAATCAAATTCCAAATTTGATAGTCTTTCACCCCAGTCCCCTCACCCTTTTTTCTATTTCGCATGGAAGATACTAGAATCAGAAAGACTTTTGAGTAGCAGAGGAATCTGGGAGCTTTGGAAAAGCCATAGAGAAATCTTGGGAGTTCTGGGGAGGAAGAGGCAGCCAGCAGAGGGGCAAAAAGAAGCAAATGGCGATGAGCATTCCAGGCCTTCCACATGTCAGTGTTTGCATTGCTGCAGTAAAAAAGCATCCTGTTGTATTAGTGTGCCTATAAACCTCATTACTGCACTCCACATTAGCCCAGGGTTGTGGGAGTGGAAGGCGGGGGAAGGACCAGCTGGTGATGCCTGTGAATGACACTCAAGTTAGTCCTTGGGTCCCTCCCATCTGTGCATAGGGTCCTGGGTGGCTTACTAATCAGCATTACACTCAAAACCTGTCCCCCAGCAATCTCAACCTGGGAATGAGTAGATTTATTGGTCAGGTTCGGTGAGATTGTCCATGTAGAAGCTGTGAAAATAAGACTGCCAATTTGAACATGGAATCTCAACTTCACTGAGCAGAGGAAATGGAGGGTCTTGGTTCTTACAAACCCAAATTTCTCTACTAGAAAGAGTAGAATCACTTCACCATGGTGGGAGACCTGTTTTGCGATTATCTTCTGTCCATGTGGGTAATTGGGAAGAGAGAAAACGCTGGTCTGAGATAAGACTGGCATTTGTGGGCATGAAGAGAGTTTTCATCTCAGGTGTCATTACTGTCTTTTTCAAGAAGCCAAAGGGGCAGTGGTTTCAAGATGCTTGGAGACAGAAGAGGATTCTTGATGAAAACTGCTCAACGAACTCTTTTAAGACCGATGTGATGTCTGCCAGGATCCTCAATAATCACTTGCTCTAGGGATCAGCTCCCACTTGTGACTGACTGACTTCAAAATGGTGGTCAAATACTTGTACTTAATAGAGACATGATCTGTGATTGTTCAGCTCCCATCCTTCTGGGAGGTTTCATTGATTATCTGTCTTCCTGGTTAGACTCTCAGCTCCTGCCTCAGGGACTCCTGATTTCAGCTTGCTCCCTCGTCCTACAGAACTGTGATTGGCAGGTTCAACAGCTAATTGTAAAATAAATCAGAAGAATACTGCTCTTTTTTTTTTTAATTTAATTTTTTTTTTTTTTTTTTTTTTTAGATTTTAGTTATTTATTTGACAGAGATCAAAGGGAGGCAGAGAGAGAAGGAAGCAGGCTCCCCTTTGAGCAAAGAGCCTGATGCAGGCCTCCATCCCAGGATCCTGGGATCATGACCTGAGCCGAAGGCAGAGGTTTTAATCCACTGAGCCACCCAGGCACCCCAGGAGAATACTGCTCTTAAAGAACATTCATTTATTTTTGACTTTTCTTCCAAATGTTTTTGTATGTGGAGGGGGAGAAATCCACACTGAAAAAGGCCCTCCCACACCCACAGGTGTGATTTAAGTGGACCCTGTTTAGTTTCATGACCCAACCTAAAACCTCTGAGACTCTCACAGCTTTCAAGCCCGTCGGGGTAGCCGTTCTGTCAAGACTTCTTAAAAGTGTTAGTGATAATTCCATTTTATCCCCGAAAACCACTTTGAACATCTTTTAGATCTTCAAGCAATTGAGCAGATTCAACCCCTCAGTTCTGTTTTCCTAGTGATAATTTGTTTCTGATGAATACACGTACAGCAGGTTTTTTAAATTAAACATTTACACTGAAATGCCTCCCCATCTTAGGTGAGCTTGATTGATTCTTATTTGGGTTTTTAAAATCATCATTGGATTTTCTAGCTTGGACACTTTAAGTTTGCCATAGGAAATGACAGGGAAAAATAGTAGGTGGTTTCCATGGCCACCACACGGCTGACTGAGGGAGAAACAGACAGGGTAGGGGAACGGTGCCATACTAAACTGAACTGCAATAATGATCAGTAGTTCAGAGAGGAAATTTAAGCGTCTGGGCTCCACTTAGCAACGCTCAATCAATCAATACATGAACAGCAATATCTGCACTGTGGCTTCACATTTATATCCTGTACCTATAAAATACCCAAACAAAAAGGAAATTGCAACATATATAAAAATTAAGTCATTAAGCACATTTGAAAAACACTTCTAGGTTAGAATAAAAATTATCCCGATTTCCAAAGTTCAGCTATTCCTCCTGAAATACCAAGAAAAACTTTCAACAGCTGAGCTTAGTTAGCATTAGGACTTTTTTCAGTTAAAACGGAATGCGAAAAGGGGTTGAGTTCTCAGATTGGAGGGACCTCGTTTCTTGACTTGGTGTTGCCACACAAAGAGGTAGAGGGTGAATTTGCTTCCTTAAACCCTCTCTTTCTACTCTTTCCACCTAAAGGTTCACTGAAGCAGGCATTTCCTGACCCAGGGGAGCCGGCAGACTCCTGCCTGCTGACCTAAGACTGGACCTAAGCAAAGAACTTTGTTTACTCTCTTCTACATTTTAAAAGAAGATACCAGACCAACACTTCCGTGGTGGCATTTCAAACACCAGCAGCTCACTAGAGGGGGGGACGGGATCGGTGGTGAGAAGTCTTCCAGCCTCCCTTCAGCAAGCTCCCCCGGCAGGCGACCGCCTCCTCCCCTTTTCCAGGGCTAAGGTCTTGTCAGC